TGATATAGGTAATTAGTTTAAGGGGGACAGAGATTTGATATAGGTAATTAGGTTAAGGGGTAAAGAGATGTGTTATAGGTAATTAGTTTATATGGGACAGACATGGGATAAAGATAATTAGATTACGTGTGATAGAGATGTGAATTAGGATGATACAGAGGTGTAACTAGAGTATTCGGTGCCCAGGGATAAGATTGATTTTTGCCCTCCCCCCTCATTTAACTCTGAAACCAATTGTTCTCTTGAATAAAATACCACCAGAGTCCATTTTTTGGCACCCCCAGTACTCCAACTCTGGTTCCCAGTATGTGATATTTGTCATTAGGTCTTTTGAACAATGAATGTGACATAGGTCATTAGGTGATTTGGAAAAAGGAATGTGATATAGGTTATTAGGTCCCTCACTCCAATGAATACTAGCAATCACCAAGAATGTGGTACTCCTCCTCACCACATCTGGATGGTCTCAAAACTGCACTCAAAACACATCTTTTTAAATTATCCTACCCTGAGTGATTCCCCTCCTCTGACTGATAAACGATCTTGCTGGCTGCCGTCCATGGTTTGCCTTGTAAAAGTTATGTGGTGGGGTGGGTGAATATACATTTTTTTTTGCTGTTCTTTATTTCATAAATGTATTTCATTTTAATGTCATTATTATGTCCCTTTTGATAATGTTTTTATGTACAGCGCGGTGAGCCCAGCCCTAGGCTGAGGTACCACGCTAAATAAGACCACTAATTATTATTATTATTATTAGTAGTACCGGCTATCATCACCAATGTTGTTTTTACCCTAGCCACACATGTAGTACTAACTATCACCACCAACGTAGTACTACTCCTCACCACATATATAGTACAGGCTATCACCACCAATGTTGTTTTTGGGCTAACCACATATCTAGTACTGACTATCACCAAAAATGTAGCACTACCACCAATGCAGCCATATTATACACCATGTTTTGTTATGACTCACGGAGGTAGCATCTGATAAAGTAATGAGTCAGTTTTCCTTTTCTCTGCCTCCAACTCCTCCGTCCTGTCAGTGACCAGTTGCTCCAGGTTGGTGCTGTAGGTCTCCAGCATCTGAAGCATGTTGTCCACCATGTTGAACCTCCTAGATGTCAGAGGACAACATCAACATATGAAAGGACAACATCAACATATGAAAGGACAACATCAACACTTGAGGGAACCCTCTTAATATGAGAGGGAACACAGGAGACAACCTCCTTAATATGAGAGGGAACACAGGAGATAACCTCCTTAATATGAGAGGGAACTCAGGAGACAACCTCCTTAAAATGAGAGGGAAACACCAACACATGAGGGAAATGACTAAATAAGAGAGTAAAGCACCAACCAAGGAGGGAACTTTCCTAACATGAGAGTAAAAGACCAACATATGAAGGAACGCCACTAAGACAAAGAAAAGAGCAAGCTGTCAGTGACATCGTTGACACTATTTGAATCATGATCGTTTTGGGAGTTGTGTCTAATATGTTAATGTCTGATGAAATCATTTTATGTCAATTTATTGCAGTCTCTGTTTATGTTTACATTCCAATACGTTTAGTTGTCTTCTGTCTGTTTTATGTCTTCTGTCTGTTTTATGTCTTCTGTCTGTTTAATGTCTTCTGTCTGTTTAATGTCTTCTGTCTGTTTAATGTCTTCTGTCTGTTTAATGTCTTCTGTCTGTTTAATGTCTTCTGTCTGTTTTATGTCTTCTGTCTGATTTATGTCTTCTGTCTGTTTTATGTCTTCTGTCTTTATGTCTTCTGTCTGTTTAATGTCTTCTGTCTGTTTAATGTCTTCTGTCTGTTTAATGTCTTCTGTCTGTTTAATGTCTTCTGTCTGTTTAATGTCTTCTGTCTGTTTTATGTCTTCTGTCTGATTAATGTCTTCTGTCTGTTTTATGTCTTCTGTCTGTTTAATGTCTTCTGTCTGTTTTATGTCTTCTGTCTGTTTTATGTCTTCTGTCTGATTTATGTCTTCTGTCTGTTTTATGTCTTCTGTCTGTTTAATGTCTTCTGTCTGATTTATGTCTTCTGTCTGTTTTATGTCTTCTGTCTGTTTAATGTCTTCTGTCTGATTTATGTCTTCTGTCTGTTTTATGTCTTCTGTCTGTTTAATGTTTTCTGTCTGTTTAATGTCTTCTGTCTGTTTAATGTCTTCTGTCTGTTTTATGTCTTCTGTCTGTTTTATGTCTTCTGTCTGATTTATGTCTTCTGTCTGTTTTATGTCTTCTGTCTGTTTAATGTCTTCTGTCTGATTTATGTCTTCTGTCTGTTTTATGTCTTCTGTCTGTTTAATGTCTTCTGTCTGATTTATGTCTTCTGTCTGTTTTATGTCTTCTGTCTGTTTAATGTTTTCTGTCTGTTTAATGTCTTCTGTCTGTTTATGTCTTCTGTCTGTTTTATGTCTTCTGTCTTTTTAATGTCTTCTGTCTGATTTATGTCTTCTGTCTGATTTATGTCTTCTGTCTGTTTTATGTCTTCTGTCTGATTTATGTCTTCTGTCTGATTTATGTCTTCTGTCTGTTTTATGTCTTCTGTCTGTTTAATGTCTTCTGTCTGATTTATGTCTTCTGTCTGTTTTATGTCTTCTGTTTTAGGTGTCACTTGTCTGTTATATTATATTCTGTCTTGTTTATGTCTTCTGTCTTTTTGTCTTCTGTCTGTTTTATGTTCTTCTGTCTGTTTGTGGCTTCTGTCTTATATGTGAGGCTATTGTTGGTCTTGTATATAAGACTATTTTCTGTCTTGTATATGAGACTATTGTCTGTCATGTATATGAGACTATTGTCAATCTTGTATGTGAGGCTATCATCTGTTTTATATGTAAGGCTACTATCTGTCCTAAATAAAAGACTATTTTCTGCCTCAGTTTGGCCATAAATACCTTTACTTACTTATGACCATTAAATTCTCTCAATTTTTTCCTAATGGTGTGGAAGTCTGGCCTGGCCTCTGGCTCCTCTGCCCAGCAAGAGGCCATCAGCTGAACTGCTTTGCTCGGACAATCCTTTTCATGCGGTATCACCGGTCTGAACGGGTGGCCTTGAACTCTTGCTTTGACCAGAGCAACAATATCTGAAAGAATAAACTATCTAAATAACGTAAGTATGTCTATTGAGTTAAGAACCACACAACATTGAATCTATAGCAACACCACAACATCGAATCTATAGCAACACCACAACATCGAATCGATAGCAACTACACAACATTGAATTTATAGCAACACCACAACCTCGAATCTATAGCAACACCACAACATTGAATCTATAGCAACACCACACCATTGAATCTATAACAACACCACACCATTGAATCTATAACAACACCACACCATTGAATCTATAGCAACAACATACCATTGAATCGATAGCAACACCACAACATTGAATCTATAACAACACCACAACATTGAATCTATAGCAACACCACAACATTGAATCTATAGCAACACAACAACATTGAATCTATAGCAACACCACAACATTGAATCTATAGCAACACCACAACATTGAATCTATAGCAACACCACAACATTGAATCTATAGCAACACCAGAACATTGAATCTATAGCAACACCACAACATTGAATCTATAGCAACACCACAACATTGAATCTATAGCAACACCACAACATTGAATCTATAGCAACACCACAACATTGAATCTATAGCAACACCACAACATTGAATCTATAGCAACACCACAACATTGAATCTATAGCAACACCACAACATTGAATCTATAGCAAACATTGTTCAAAATTCAAATCATTAGACAGAAAAAAAACACACTATTGGCCCCCCCCCCAACCATTACCTACATATTCTAATCGCAGCATTTGGCTCGATGCTGTATGTTCCTAACACCACCCTAACCTTATACTTGTAGCACACCTTGTGGTTCCCTGTTGTTGTAGTAATAGGGACTGCATCTTGTTAGGATCTCCTGCATAACGATGGCGTAACTAAACACATCAGCTTTTTGAGTCCCTTTCTGGGGCCGCCTAATCATCCTCAACAGCTCGGGGGCGGTCCACAGCAAACCTGGGAGAAACAAGCAATCTTATAATGCAATCTTATAATGCCATCTTATAATGCCATCTTATTATGCTATCTTATAACGCAATCTTATAATGCAATCTTATCGTCGGATTTACTCATCTCAAAGACTTATCATATATTTACCTCTGTCATACTGAATCATAATACCAACAAAAACAGTTAATATCTACTTATCTCTCTCATAATGATTCATTACATCAACAACACAAAGTAAAGATCTACTGAAAAGTCAAGGACATGTAAATGTCACATTAAATCTATTTAAAAAAAAAAAGAAAGAAAACCAATAACAACAACAACAGACTTTCAAAACAAGTTCTCACTTTGCTGTAATACTTCCCTGAGTCTGGCTCGGTTAAATCTCAGTCAATATCATTGCTCAGATTGTGAACTGATATCTCAGTCAATATCATTGCTCAGATTGTGAACTGATATCTCAGTCAATATCATTGCTCAGATTGTGAACTGATATCTCAGTCAATATCATTGCTCAGATTGTGAACTGATATCTCAGTCAATATCATTGCTCAGATTGTGAACTGATATCTCAGTCAATACCATTGTTGCTCAGATTGTGAACTGATATCTCAGTCAATATCATTGCTCAGATTGTGAACTGATATCTCAGTCAATACCATTGTTGCTCAGATTGTGACCTGATATCTCAGTCAATATCATTGCTCAGATTGTGAACTGATATCTCAGTCAATATCATTGCTCAGATTGTGAACTGATATCTCAGTCAATATCATTGCTCAGATTGTGAACTGATATCTCAGTCCATACCATTGCTCAGATTGTGACCTGATATCTCAGTCCATACCATTGCTCAGATTGTGAACCTGATCGAATTGAAAGAAGAGCAAAAATTGTTTACTGTTGCAATACGCTTTACTGTCGACGTCACCATCAGAGTCAGGTTTTCTATAGGACACAACGGCACCAAAATCTGTTATTTTGAGAACCCATCGGCTGTCTATGACGCAGTTACTTGACTTTAAATTTCCATGGGAACGAAGAGGCGTCTTGTGAAGATACTCCATACCCTGCCAGGAAAAATTCAACAAACTAAGCTCCCTGCATAACCCAATTTAACAAACGCTCTCTTCAAGATACAGTGGTACCCTGGTATACGTCTGCTTTGGAATAAGTCGAACTTGGTATACGTCCTGTTTGGACGAGAAACATTTTGCTTTGGTATACAACCTTCGTTTGGAATACGGCTCTCGTGCGTGCCAGAACTCGTATGTCAAAATGACACGTCGCTCAAAGACTAGGATGGATGCACTCTCTTCAGGCTCTGAGGAGGAGGAGATAGAGGAAGCTCCTACTTCATTAATCAAGGACATCTTTGCTAAATGGATGGATGTCAAAAGCTTTGCAGAGAAGTACCACCGCAACAAAGCCCAAACGAGACATAACATCATTGTCTGGAATAACCAGACGATGTCACATTTTCGAACCATCCTGAGGAAAAGTCAAAAGCAAGGCTCTTTGGGCAGATTTTTAGTAAAAGTTAAACCTGGTGAGCCTCAACCAGGGTCAACTAGGGAAAAGAGACAGAAAAAAGTAAAAAAACATCAGAATGTCATATTCCTGAAGTTTTATTGGAAGCAGACTCTCCTTCAAAACAATACCATCTCCTCCTTCTCAGCACCATATTAGTTAGCACTTGACTCTTCTCACCAAGGTCAAGTGAGGCTCAATTTTCATGTATTTCATTTAAGTTCTTTTTATTTATGTATTTTAGTATTAAGCAGTGTTAAAATTATTTTATACAACTACGTCAATAATTTGTTCGTGTCTTATTAATATATTTTAAAGCAATAATTTTATAATATGCCAATAACAAAAGGATTTTGTTGTCATGGGAACGGATTAATCATTTCCCTTTTATTTCTTATGGGAAAAATACGTTTGGTAAACGTCCTGTTTGGTGTAAGTCCAAGGATCTGAAACGGATTAAGGACGTATACCGAGGTGCCACTGTATATTTAAACCAACTTGACAACCTAGCTATTAAATTAAACACTCTCTACATGACTGATTTAAAACAATATTTATCTCTAGTTCTATTATTATACAAGTTATCTTGCTTTGCTAAAACAAAAAAACAAAAAAAATAACATTGTAAAAATAAAGTATGTTTAAATCTTGTTCCTGGCTGCTTCTGAAAACAGCCCACAGATTCATAACAACTGTGTTTCAGTAGCAGGAGTTTTTGGGGTTAATACATTAGGAGTTTAATTCTGCACTTACACTAGAATACATTAAGAGTTTAATTCTGCACTTACACTAGAATACATTAGGAGTTTAATTCTGCACTTACACTAGAATACATTAAGAGTTTAATTCTGCACTTACACTAGAATACATTAGGAGTTTAATTCTGCACTTACACTAGAATACATTAAGAGTTTAATTCTGCACTTACACTAGAATACATTAGGAGTTTAATTCTGCACTTACACTAGAATACATTAAGAGTTTAATTCTGCACTTACACTAGAATACATTAAGAGTTTAATTCTGCACTTACACTAGAATACATTAAGAGTTTAATTTTGCACTTACACTAGAATACATTAAGAGTTTAATTTTCCACTTACACTAGAATACATTAGGAGTTTAATTTTGCACTTACACTAGAACACATTAGGAGTTTAATTTTGCACCTACACTAGAATACATTAGGAGTTTAATTTTGCACCTACACTAGAACACATTAGGAGTTTAATTCTGCACTTACACTAGAATACATTAGGAGTTTAATATTCCACTTTGCTCTCGTGTCTACTTAGTTTTACACCTGCCACTTACCCTAGAAAGGTCGAGAGCAAAAGAAAGTCTAAATATCCAGTCTAGTTTGATGTCGTCATTGTCCAGGACATCTTGGAGACTTCCTTTAGAGCAGTAGCGAAACAGGACATAGCTGGAGCCAGGCACGGAGGAGACAAACGCCCCTATGAACAGGTTGACATTGTCATGGGACAGCTCTTTCACCTTGAAAGTAAGAAAATGTCGTCATTGTGTTAGACATGACAGATAATGTTGCCATTATGTTTGTTTTGACAGGGTATGTAGTCCTTGTGTTGGATGTGACAGGAGATGTTGACCTTGTGTTGGATGTGATAGGGTATGTTGTCCTTGTGTTGGATGTGACAGGAGATGTAGTCCTTGTGTTGGAGACTAAATATTTGTCTAACTGTTTTGTTTGCTCAAAATATTATAACTCTTAATCAAAAGCTCTTTTTAATAGCATGTCATCTGATCATGTCATCTGATCATGTCATTTGATCGTTCGTGTCATCTGTAGGATCGCTTAAACTTTACATGTCCTCGGATCCCGTTATCTGATAACGATATCACATCATGTCACCAATACATGTCCTAATGATCGTGTCATTCGATGTCATTTACGCATTGTAGCTGTGTCATCAACCAACCATGTTCAGATCTTGTAGCAGTTCTTTCTTGCTCAACTGTAAGTGCGTCCATCGGACCGGCTTGACGGCAACCACCATATCCTGTGGCAAACACAATAAATGACAGCAGTAAGTCATGTGGTCAAGCCTGATGGCAGTACGGTCAGACATGATGGCAGTACGGTCAGACATGATGGCAGTACGGTCAAACATGATGGCAGTATGGTGAGGCATGATGACAGTATGGTCAAACATGATGGCAGTATGTTGAGGCATGATGGCAGTATGGTGAGACATGATGGCAGTATGGTGAGACATGATGGCAGTATGGTGAGACATGATGGCAGTATGGTGAGACATGATGGCAGTATGGTGAGACATGATGGCAGTATGGTGAGACATGACAGTATGGTCAAACATGATGGCAGTATGGTGAGACATGATGGCAGTATGGTCAAACATGATGGCAGTATGGTGAGACATGATGGCAGTATGGTGAGACATGATGGCAGTATGGTGAGACATGATGGCTATTCTACCTTCTCAGAGTAACATAAATGCAATCTATCAACATTCTATCAACAATCTATCAACAATCTATCAACAATCTATCAACAATCTATCAACAATCTATCAACAATCTATCAACAATCTATCAACAATCTATCAACAATCCATCAACAATCTATCAACAATCTATCAACAATCTACCATTAATCTACGAAACACTGTATGCCAAATATCTTTAAAATTTATATTTTTGCTACGATACGTTCTATCAAATCCTGATTGTTAACACACATCCTAAACTATGTACAATTGTCCTTGCTTTAAAAAGTTATAACAAATGTCTTATTCCTACCACATATTATAAGAAATGTCTTATTCCTACCACACATTATAAAAATGTTTTATTCCTACCACATATTATAGGAAATGTCTTATTCGTAACACATATAAGAAATGTCTCATTTCTACCACATATTATATGAAATTATTTATTTCTGCTATATATTCAAAAAATCTACAAACTATGTCGTGTAATTACATATATTTAGATATGCGTATGAGGTCTAACTGCGTCAACACATAAGACATGTCTTATGTCTACTTACTACCATCTATTTTAACACATGTCTACTTACTACCATACATTTTAAGACATGTCTGATGACTTCGTACATAACTGAACAGACTTGTGATTCTTATGATTGATGATTGATCTCTGAATTAAATTCAATGTAAATAAAGTGCCCACCTTGTAGTTACCAATCGGGGCATAGAGCATGGATTTATCAAGGCTGCAGTTGGACCCAAGGCCCAGGGTCCCTCGGGTTTCCTAAGGGAAGGAAAACTGTGTGAATTTTTGTGGTAAGTTCATCAATCTTGTGATGGAAAATGTATATTTGGCTGATAAGATTGGTGGTTGTTGCAGTAGTGGCGATTTAAGGTGGTATGATGGTAGATAGGATGGTGGATGTGATGGTGGTTGAGATGGTGGATGTGATGGTGGTTGAGATGGTGGATGTGATGGTGGATGTGATGGTGGTTGAGATGGTGGATGTCATGGTGGATGTGATGGTGGATGTGATGGTGGATGTGATGGTGGATGTGATGGTGGATGTGATGGTGGTTGAGATGGTGTATGTGATGGTGGTTGAGATGGTGGATGTCATGGTGGATGTGATGGATGTGATGGTGGATGTGATGGTGGATGCAATGGATGTGATGGATGTGATGGATGTAATGGTGGATGTGATGGTGGATGTGATGGTGGATGTGCTGGTGGATGTGATGGATGTGATGGTGGATGTGATGGTGGATGTGATGGTGGATGTGATGGTGGATGTGATGGTGGATGTGATGGAGGTGATGGTGGATGTGATGGCGGATGTGATGGCGGATATGATGGGGGATGTGATGGTGGCTGTGATGGTGGATGTGATGGTGGATGTGATTGTGGATGTGCTGGTGGTTGTGATGGATGTGATGGTGGATGTGATGGTGGATTTGATGGTGGATGTGATGGTGGATGTGATGGTGGATGTGATGGATGTGATGGTGGATGTGATGGCGGATGTGATGGCGGATATGATGGTGGATGTGATGGTGGTTGTGATGGTGGATGTGATGGTGGATACGATGGTGGATGTGATGGTGGTTGAGATGGTAAGAATGGGGAGGATGGTGGTGGCGATGATGATTATGGTGGTGATCTTGGTGTTCGTGGGGATAGTGGTAATGGTGATGCTGGTGGTTATGATAGAGTAGGTGGTGGTGTTGGAGTTAGGGAGCATGATGATAGTGATGGTGGTGATAACGTTGGGGCTGTAAGTGGTGTTGATTGTGTTGGTGGCGGTAGTTATAGTGATACTGGTGATGGTGAGTGTGATGATTGTGAAGATTATGGTTGATGTGATGGTGCTGATAATGGTGGCCATGCTTGTTGGCCATCTCACTGATATTTCTGGTGATTTTCTGCTGCTTTTGTAAAACCTTGACAGTTGTCCCAATTTATGGCAACACCTTGACATTTGTCCCAACACCATGGATATCCAAAGTCAAAGTAACAACAGTTACAAGAGGGGGGTGGGACAAGGGGGAGGGGGACGAAGCCGTGAGCTCATTGTGACATTTGAGATGTTGGAGCTCAACCTCTTGGCCGTATAGTGATGGGATGTATATCTGATTTGCTTTAGTTAGTTACACATTACACTGGTGTGCTGAGTTAGTTACACATTACACTGGTGTGCTGAGTTAGTTACACATTACACTGGTGTGCTGAGTTAGTTACACATTACACTGGTGTGCTGAGTTAGCTACACATTACACTGGTGTGCTGAGTTAGTTACACATTACACTGGTGTGCTGAGTTAGTTACACATTACACTGGTGCGCTGAGTTAGTTACACATTACACTGGTGTGCTGAGTTAGTTACACATTACACTGGTGTGCTGAGTTAGTTACACATTACACTGGTGTGCTGAGTTAGTTACACATTACACTGGTGTGCTGAGTTAGTTACACATTACACTGGTGTGCTGAGTTAGTTACACATTACACTGGTGTGCTGAGTTAGTTACACATTACACTGGTGTGCTGAGTTAGTTACACATTACACTGGTGTGCTGAGTTAGTTACACATTACACTGGTGTGCTGAGTTAGTTACACATTACACTGGTGTGCTGAGTTAGTTACACATTACACTGGTGTGCTGAGTTAGTTACACATTACACTGGTGTGCTGAGTTAGTTACACATTACACTGGTGCGCTGAGCTAGTTACACATTACACTGGTGTGCTGAGTTAGTTACACATTACACTGGTGCGCTGAGCTAGTTACACATTACACTGGTGTGCTGAATTAGTTACACATTACACTGGTGTGCTGAGTTAGTTACACATTACACTGGTGTGCTGAGTTAGTTACACAATACACTGGTGTGCTGAGCTAGTTACACATTACACTGGTGCGCTGAGCTAGTTACACATTACACTGGTGTGCTGAGTTAGTTACACATAACACTGGTGTGCTGAGTTAGTTACACATTACACTGGTGTGCTGAGTTAGTTACACATTACAGACGGTAATACGATGAGCTGGAGTTAATTGTGCATTAGATCTGGTGTGATGGAGTTAGTGATATATTTCTGTAAATGTCATGGCTACTGTCTATATATGTCATGGTAAATGTCCGTAGATGTCATGGTAAATGTCTGTAGATGTCATGGTAAATGTCTGTAGATGTCATGGCTACTCTCTATATATGTCATTGTAAATGTCTGTAGATGTCATGGTAAATGTCTGTAGATGTCATGGCTACTCTCTACATATGTCATTTTAAATGTCTGTAGATGTCATGGTAAATGTCTGTAAATTTCCAGATAAATGTCTAAAGATGTCATTTTATATGTTGGTAGATGTCAAGATTACTGCCTGTAGATTTTAGGGTCACTGACTGCAGATGTCATTGTCAAGTCTGTAGATGTCATGGTAAATGTATGTGGTTACTGTTTGAGACTAATATCAATGTCCTGTGTAATTATCACAATATTACATTAGCAATAGAGATATTCTTACGTTAGCAATAGTGAGATACCTACATAATCTATATAGATTTACTTACATTAGCTATATACACATACTAACATTATCTATTTAAAGATTTTTACATTAGCTATAAAGATATTTTAATTTCAGCTATATAAAGATGTTTACATTAACTATGTAGAGATACTTACATTATCTATATAAATATTTTCATTAGCTATACAGCTATATTTACATTAGCTTTATAGAGATATTTACAAACAATCCTGCATCATTACTCCTGTTTGCACCATTCCAATGTCGATGTATGTCTTACTCCTGTTTGCACCATTCCAATGTCGATGTATGTCTTACTCCTGTTTGCACCATTCCAATGTCGATGTATGTCTNCAAGTACACTAGGATGCTATTTATGTTTCAATTATTCAGAGACTGAAGCAATACTATGACAAGTACACTAGGATGCTATTTATGTTTCAATTATTCAGAGACTGAAGCAATACTATGACAAGTACACTAGGATGCTATTTATGTTTCAATTATTCAGAGACTGAAGCAATACTATGACAAGTACACTAGGATGCTATTTATGTTTCAATTATTCAGAGACTGAAGCAATACTATGACAAGTACACTAGGATGCTATTTATGTTTCAATTATTCAGAGACTGAAGCAATACTATGACAAGTACACTAGGATGCTATTTATGTTTCAATTATTCAGAGACTGAAGCAATACTATGACAAGTACACTAGGATGCTATTTATGTTTCAATTATTCAGAGACTGAAGCAATACTATGACAAGTACACTAGGATGCTATTTATGTTTCAATTATTCAGAGACTGAAGCAATACTATGACAAGTACACTAGGATGCTATTTATGTTTCAATTATTCAGAGACTGAAGCAATACTATGACAAGTACACTAGGATGCTATTTATGTTTCAATTATTCAGAGACTGAAGCAATACTATGACAAGTACACTAGGATGCTATTTATGTTTCAATTATTCAGAGACTGAAGCAATACTATGACAAGTACACTAGGATGCTATTTATGTTTCAATTATTCAGAGACTGAAGCAATACTATGACAAGTACACTAGGATGCTATTTATGTTTCAATTATTCAGAGACTGAAGCAATACTATGACAAGTACACTAGGATGCTATTTATGTTTCAATTATTCAGAGACTGAAGCAATACTATGACAAGTACACTAGGATGCTATTTATGTTTCAATTATTCAGAGACTGAAGCAATACTATGACAAGTACACTAGGATGCTATTTATGTTTCAATTATTCAGAGACTGAAGCAATACTATGACAAGTACACTAGGATGCTATTTATTCCAATGATTGCCACATTGCTTACCATTCGCACCAATTTGTTTTTGACAGCGCCATTGCAAGTTGTGAGCCCTGCTGGAGAAGTTGCCCCTGTATTTGTAGCCCCTGCTGGAGTAGTTGCCCCTGTATTTGTCACCCAAAAGTTGCCATTTTTCATCCTTCTCCGCTTGACCTCCTTATCATCTATCAGCCAATCTTTCTTTGCCTTCAGCTTCGTATTTTGATGTTTTCTGGAGAAATGGTCATTTTATCTATACAATAGTAAACTCGTGTCATGCTATATATTCAACAGTACACTCAAAGTCATTGTACAACAGCAAACTTCTTCATTGTATGTATTGAACAGTAGATTCATGTAATTTAATGTTTTCAAATATAGGCTCATGTATTTGTATATATTCAACCATAGACTCATGTATTTGTATATATTCAACCATAGACTCATGTATTTGTATATATTCAACCATAGACTCATGTATTTGTATATATTCAACCATAGACTCATGTATTTGTATACTATATTCAAAATAATTGTGCTTCCTTTGACGGTTCATATCCGTTTCTGTGACCCATATCACTATTCGACTGACCTCTAAAAATCTACCTAGCCACGCCCTCCAAACTCTAACGAGGCTTCTATTAATACATAGCGTGCAATCTATTAGTGCAGGCCTGCACAACATACGGCCCACGGCTACAGGCGGCCCGCCAGCACCCACTTTGCGGCCCGCGAAGTAACGAAATATTCTTTATTCTTATTATTTTCTTAATAGCCTTCCCCTGTCTTATTTTCTTTTGGCCCGCACAAGTTTTTCAAAAAGTATTCGGCCCCGCCTTACATTTTGAGTTGTGCAGGCCTGGATTAGCGCATCACATCACGTGATCTCCATTAACACATGACTTGAGCCAACCCGTCGCGATGACGATAGAACTGCTGACCCATTTGAACTTGCATCAGTAAAGATAGTTTTTAATACCAAACCAACCCCTAGTTCCGCCCCTGCCTTCATAACAACTGGACACTCTGTCTCTAGGTTTACAGTCTAAATGTTGTGAAGTTAAAATCAGTGAACCTGTAGATATAAAGGGAGATCGCCAAGCAGGAGATTATCAGTAGTGTCCCACCACAAGCACCGGCTATGATACTGGTCAGATCTGAAATAGAGATCATCGCAGATCAGATGTATACTTATCAAAGCTGAATTAGATTATAGATATCTGCATATATCAAAGTGTAAACTGATCAGATATGAAAAAGATGTGGTAAATAAATTTGATCTTTTTCAAGGAACTATTCCAGAATATTCTACCACTATAAAAATGCCAGGTCTGTTATAAAACTAATTCATAACTTAAGAGTTGAACACGGGACAACTCCACCACTTCATCAATCCCCCTGTCACCTGTGCAAGTTTGACCTGGGGCTTGACAATCCATCTCTGACATCGGCATAGAGGCCAGGGGCCAGAGAATTTCTTGGGTTGTGACCAGGGCCATGTCGGTAGTGATGACAGCTACATTGGTGTGATCACTGTTCTGGAAGTGAGACAAGTAATACCTGGCTTGACGGACCCCGTTGTTGTCTATCACAATGTTACCTGTCTTGAGGTGTGGGGCTGTGGACAAGTTGAAATACCTGTGCCATTAAAACTTGTCAAACATTGACATATCTGTGACATTGAAACTAGACAAATATTGAATAACTGTGACATTAAAGTAAAAAAAAGATTTACATACCTATAGCATTAAAACCAGACATAGATTTACATACCTGTGACATTGAAGTCAGACATAGATTTACATACCTGTGACATTGAAGTCAGACATAGATTTACATACCTGTGACATTGAAGTCAGACATAGATTTACATACCTGTGACATTAAAGTCAGACATAGATTTACATACCTGTGATATTAAAGTCTGAAATAGATTTCCATACCTGTGACATTAACACCAGACATAGATTTACATACCTGTGATATTAAAGTCTGACATAGATTTACATACCTGTGACATTAACACCAGACATAGATTTACATACCTGTGACATTGAAGTCAGACATAGATTTACATGCCTGTGACATTGAAGTCAGACATAGATTTACATACCTGTGACATTAAAGTCAGACATAGATTTACATACCTGTGACATTGAAGTCAGACATAGATTTACATGCCTGTGACATTGAAGTCAGACATAGATTTACATACCTGTGACATTCAAGTCAGACATAGATTTACATACCTGTGACATTGAAGTCAGACATAGATTTACATACCTGTGACATTAAAGTCAGACATAGATTTACATACCTGTGATATTAAAGTCAGACATAGATTTACATACCTGGGATATTAAAGTCAGACATAGATTTACATACCTGTGATATTAAAGTCAGACATAGATTTACATACCTTTGATATTAAAGTCAGACATAGATTTACATACCTGTGACATTAAAGTCAGACATAGATTTACATACCTGTGACATTAAGTCAGACATAGATTTACATACCTGTGACATTAAAGTCAGACATAGATTTACATACCTGTGATATTAAAGTCAGACATAGATTTACATACCTGTGATATTAAAGTCAGACATAGATTTACATACCTGTGATATTAAAGTCAGACATAGATTTACATACCTGTGACATTAAAGTCAGACATAGATTTACATATCTGTGAGATTAAAGTCAGACATAGATTTACATACCTGTGATATTGAAGCCAGACATAGATTTACATACCTGTGATATTAAAATCAGACATAGATTTACATACCTGTGACATTAAAGTCAGACATAGATTTACATACCTGTGACATTGAAGTCAGACATAGATTTACATACCTGTGACATTGAAGTCAGACATAGATTTACATACCTGTGATATTAAAGTCAGACATAGATTTACATACCTGTGACATTAACACCAGACATAGATTTACATACCTGTGATATTAAAGTCTGACATAGATTTACATACCTGTGATATTAAAGTCTGACATAGATTTACATACCTGTGACATTGAGGTCAGACATAGATTTACATACCGGTGACATTGAAGTCAGACATAGATTTACATACCTGTGACATTAAAGTCAGACATAGATTTACATCCTTGTGACATTGACGTCAGACATAGATTTACATACCTGTGACATTGACACCATGCATAGATTTACATACCTGTGACATTAAAGCCAGACATAGATTTACATACCTGTGATATTAAAGTCAGACATAGATTTAAATACCTGTGACATTAAAACCAGACATAGATTTACATACCTGTGACATTGAAGCCAGACATAGATTTACATACCTGTGATATTAAAGTCAGACATAGATTTACATACCTGTGATATTAAAGTCAGACATAGATTTACATACCTGTGATATTAAAGTCAGACATAGATTTACATACCTGTGACATTAAAGTCAGACATAGATTTACATATCTGTGAGATTAAAGTCAGACATAGATTTACATACCTGTGATATTGAAGCCAGACATAGATTTACATACCTGTGATATTAAAATCAGACATAGATTTACATACCTGTGACATTAAAGTCAGACATAGATTTACATACCTGTGACATTGAAGTCAGACATAGATTTACATACCTGTGACATTGAAGTCAGACATAGATTTACATACCTGTGATATTAAAGTCAGACATAGATTTACATACCTGTGACATTAAAGTCAGACATAGATTTACATACCTGTGATTTTAAAGTCAGACATAGATTTACATACCTGTGACATTAACACCAGACATAGATTTACATACCTGTGACATTGAAGTCAGACATAGATTTACATACCTGTGATATTAAAACCAGACATAGATTTACATCCCTATGACATTGAAGTCAGACATAGATTGACATACCTGTGACTTTAAAGTCAGACATAGATTTACATACCTGTGATATTGACACCAGACATAGATTTACATACCTGTGACATTGAAGTCAGACATAGATTTACATACCTGTGACATTGAAGTCAGACATAGATTTACATGCCTGTGACATTGAAGTCAGACAAAGATTTACATACCTGTGACATTGAAGTCAGACATAGATTTACATACCTGTGACATTAAAGTCAGACATAGATTTACATACCTGTGACATTGAAGTCAGACATAGATTTACATACCTGTGACATTGAAGTCAGACATAGATTTACATACCTGTGACATTGAAGTCAGACATAGATTTACATACCTGTGACATTAAAGTCAGACATAGATTTACATATCTGTGACATTAAAGTCAGACATAGATTTACATACCTGTGACAATAAAGTCAGACATAGATTTACATCCTTGTGACATTGACGTCAGACATAGATTTACATACCTGTGACATTAAAGTCAGACATAGGATTACATACCTGTGACATTAAAGTCAGACATAGATTTACATACCTGTGACATTAAAGTCAGACATAGATTTACATACCATTGACATTGAAGTCAGACATAGATTTACATACCTTTGACATTGAAGTCAGACATAGATTTACATACCTGTGACATTGAAGTCAGACATAGATTTACATACCTGTGACATTGAAGTCAGACATAAATTTACATACCTGTGACATTGAAGTCATACATAGGTAACCCTTGAACGTTTCTCTGCACCATGACAACAGCTAGAACCACAGCATCGTAAAAATATGGACTGGCAGTGACCTTGACAAAGAGATACAAAAGATAGAGTTAATGGATGGGGAACTAGACATATGGATACTAAAGATACAATGAATAGACGGGGCACTTGACATTGGCACATAGAACTATAATAATAGTGATAAACCGTTTCTGTCACGGATGTTTTATATAAAAGTATCTGACCTGTAATGGGATAGTATCTGACATGTAATGGGATATTATCATCTGACCTGTAATGGGATATTATCTGACATGTATTGGGATTGTATCTGACCTGTAATGGAACAGTATCATCTGACCTGTAATGTGACAGTATCTGACCTGAAGTGGGATAGTATCTGACCTAAATTGGGATAGTATCTGACCTGTAATGGGACAGTATCTGACCTGAAGTGGGATAGTATCTGACCTAAATTGGGATAGTATCTGACCTATAATGGGACAGTATCTGATATGTATTGGGAGAGTATCTGACCTGTAATGGGACAGTATCTGATATGTATTGGGAGAGTATCTGACCTGTAATGAGACAGTATCTGTATTGAGAGGTTTCTCTGACCTGTAATGAGAGATTATCTGACCTGTATTGAGAGGTTTCTCAGACCTGCAATGAGAGACTATCTCTGACCTGTAGTGAGAGGTTTCTCAGACCTGCAATGAGAGACTATCTCTGACCTGTAGTGAGAGGTTTCTCTGACCTGTAATGAGAGATTATCTGACCTGTAGTGAGAGGTTTCTCTGACCTGCAATGAGAGACTGTGGTTACATCCGCCGTGCCTGTGTGTCACGTCCATTCCGTTCCTCCAATAAGGAAACTGGCCAAGTTGTAGAAAGCAGTCCAAGAATTCTTTCCCCTGCTTTGGGCTTTTCTGGTACAGTTCGTCCACGAGTGGACTGACTTCAAAACTCAAATAGAGAAAAGCGTAGTAACCCGAGGTCATGGCGAGTATCTCAGCTTCATTTTGCAAAGTGTGCAGTGTGTAGCGAGGCATGCAGAGCAGCAAAGCTTCAATATAGCAACGTTAAGTCCGATGGGAGGAAAGAGTTGAATATTAGCCACAGCATGAATGATACAATTCTATTTCTGAAGTTTTTATAAAATTATCTTGGAAATGTAAAATATATATTTTTATTTGTGTAGTTATTTAATATTTTTTCTATACTACCCACATGTATGTATGTATGTGTACATCATTCTACAACAACCACATGTATGTAAAAAAAAGGAAATGAGCGAAACAAAGTATGGGAAAACCTGAAAAAGAACACAACAAAGCATCGAACGTGACGGCAAGAAGCCTTCTTTAGCGAAGAAACAACAGTGAAACAGAAATATTAATAACACTTAGCTGAAATGTAGTATCTAAGAGAACTGCAAGAGGAATGTGACAGTACATAAGTAGGTGAGACAACTGCAAGAGGAATGTGACAGTACATAAGTAGGTGAGAGAACTGCAAGAGGAATGTGACAGTACATAAGTAGGTGAGAGAACTGCAAGAGGAATGTGACAGTACATAAGTAGGTGAGAGAACTGCAAGAGGAATGTGACAGAACATGAGTAGGTGAGAGGTTAAATACAGGCAAAGGGGGAAAGAAGAGGATGAAAGTAAATCCACTGCGATTGGTCGTGACGAGGAGGCGGCGGAGAACAGGTGAATGAGACGATGCCATTCATGCCATGGGGTGTCAATGTTCCATAAGTCTGGATCAGCTTGTTTGCCAACATCACCCGGCTAGGTGGTTTAGTGTAAATCATGAACCGCACTAATATTAAAATCCACAGAACCCATGAGGGGGCTTCTATGGAAGTGTTTCAAGAAGGGACACTCATTATCTTGCGTAATAAGACGGAGGTGTGCAGTACATCTATTAGAGATTAGACGTCCTGTCTCGCCTATATACGACATATGGCAACGGGTGATAACAATGGCGTAGACAATAGCGGGGTTCGTACAAAAGAAACCGCCCCTTATCTGAAAACTGCGAAGAGAATGTGTTGAGTCTAGGCGAAAAAGGGTAAGGATTGCAACGACTGCGTCCGCATGGCTTGGTGACAAAGAGGGAGGGGGGGAGCTTTGATACGACTTCGCACAAGCATGTCTCGCAGATTTGATCCCGTCTGAAAACAATGAGAGACGACGGAGACAGAAAATGTCTGGTGTGTCAAGGTCGGCGAGGAGAATGTCACGGTTGTTAAGGAAAATGGCGTAGAGCAGTGTTTGGAGGAGTGAGATATTGAGGATATGTCAGAATAAGTTTGGTCCTGCCACAATTGTCCCTTGGGTGTCACCAGAAGGCTTCAGGATCGGTCATATTTTTCAACATTTGAAGGGCCGATGAAAGTATTGTCTACGGGTAGGACTTACATCGGAAATAGTCAATCATCTCAAGTGCCTTGTCCCAAAAGTCAGCCATTGACTGGCAAAGTCTACGAAGACGAAGCAATTGAGAAAAGAGAATAGAGTCTTTACAGGATTTAGAATGGAAGGAAGAGTAGTGTAGATGGCTGTGGTTGTCAGTAGGTTTAAACTAGGCGGAGGTGAGTAGGCTGTCTTTGAAATGGTTGATCGTAATGTCCCAAAAAGTTGACCGAGGTCTCAGAGACAAGAGATGTTAACTTCAGGGAGGCGTCCAGTATCGTTTCTTTTTATCATTTGTTCGCAATGTACCATGATAAACTTGCGTAGCTGGGTCCTATTTTAGTCCCCATAGCAACACCACTGATTTGGTTGAAGAATTGGCCGCTAAAGTGAAACGAATTGAGGTTGCGAACCTGTTCAGCCAATCGGAGGGGAATTTTAGTTGGTATAGATGGATGGGGTTTACACTCCAGAAATGTATGTAGAAATGCCATATGTTTTTCTCTAGTACCCACATATATGCATGTGATTATGATACGTTGTTCTTGAGTACATACAGTCTATATGTGATCAGTACGATCACGCTTTAAACCTAGTCAAAACACAAAGGAAGATGGAACAAAACTCACAGCAACCTACCATCCTCACAATGTGACAGCCAAAATAATAGTTATAAATAGACCAATGCTAATACCCAACAATAATATTTTAAATAGTTTTTTAATCCCAACCTCTCACTTCTGGTACCCGAGTGCAAATAGTCGCAGCCTTTGCCGAAACATATGAAGAGACATTTAGCTATTAGCGAAATTGCAATTGTTTATAAATCAGGCATTAGTTTATCTGTAACAGTGGGTTTACAACCTACGTCTGATGAGATCCCACCAAACATTAAATAGATGCACAGAAGGTGTTTGGTAAAAATGACATTCTGCGTAGATTATATAGAAGAAAACAATTAAACATTTGACTATCCCATCTAAAACCAATTTCTATACTAACAGCATGTTCTTTATCTTATGTTGTTTATCTTATATGCTACGGCTATGAATATGCGACACTTACTTCTGGTCAAGACTTTGGCTTTGGTCAAACCGTCCACGACTGCCGTTCTGTTCCCGTGACGTAATGTGACCACAAGAACCAGAGACGGTGCATCCTCGGACACCAGTTGGTTCCTGATTTCTTCTACCAGATAGTCGCACATGCCATCCTTTTCATACAGTATGGCTGGGGAGACACATGACATCCTTTTCATACAGTATGGCTGGGGAGACACATGACATTCTTTTCATACAGTATGGCTGGGGAGATACATGACATTCTTTTCATACAGTATGGCTGGGGAGATACATGACATCCTTTTCATACAGTATAGCTGGGGAGATACATGACATTCTTTTCATACAGTATGGCTGGGGAGATACATGACATTCTTTTCATACAGTATGGCTGGGGAGATACATGACATTCTTTTCATACAGTATGGCTGGGGAGATACATGACATTCTTTTCATACAGTATGGCTGGGGAGATACATGACATTCTTTTCATACAGTATGGCTGGGGAGATACATGACATTCTTTTCATACAGTATGGCTGGGGAAATACATGACATTCTTTTCATACAATATGGCTGGGGAGATACATGACATTCTTTTCATACAGTATGGCTGGGGAGATACATGACATTCTTTTCATACAGTATAACTGGGGAGATATATGACATTCTTTACAGTATGGATGGCGAGATTAATGACATGGGCTTGATACTCATTAGATACATGTTTGATGAAAGTTTTGAAAGATCATTGGATGAAAGTGTTGAAAGATCATTGGATGAAAGTGTTGAAAGATCATTGTTTGAAATTGTTGAAAGATCATTGGATGAAAGTGTAACATTTATAATGATAATCGTTTAATATATGTACTCAACTACTCAGCGAAAATTGTGAGGACAAGACTACGCATTAAAAAGGGTTTTGTATGAGACAACTAACCTTTTATTGAGGCAACTGACCTTTTTATTGAGGACATGACCTTTTAATGATGCAACTGACCTATTTTCGTCCACTTGAAATGTTTTATGACAACAAAAGCGGACTTGGCAAAGTCGTGAAATGAACCGAAAGTTGAAAGGTCCCCTTCATTCTGACCACTGAGGTCATGGTTGATCGGAACCCACGTCACGACCGGTGTGTTGGAGTAGGAGCCTAACAGGGCGACAACTCGTACCGCTGCAGAGGGAGAACATCATTAAGTCGGGATATCCTGATAATGTTATGTCATTACGAGAAACATCATTAAGTCGTTATATCCTTAAAATCTCATTCTTTTGTTACAAATCAATTTACTACGTTGTTACATGATTACGTCATCACATAATTCCGTGTTCATATGATGCGAAGATTAAAAGATTACAATTTTATGGAGACAGGTAATATTACAACGTCATTTTAATGTAATTTTGATCCCATCATTGAAAAAGTACAGTAACATAAGACAAGAGAAGTACAGTACCATGGGACAATAGAACTACAGTAATATGGAACAAGAGAAGTACAGTAACATTGGGCATTTCGGATTGTCGTAGCTAATATACGAACAGTAACACGGTACATTTGGGGTTGTCGTAGCAAAAAGAAGTACAGTAGCATGGTACATTTGGGGTTGTCGTAGCTAAAAGAAGTACAGTAACATGGGACATTAGGGGTTGTCGTAGCTAAAAGAAGTACAGTAACATGGTACATTTGGGGTTGTCGTAGCTAAAAGAAGTACAGTAGCATGGTACATTTGGGGTTGTCGTAGCTAAAAGAAGTACAGTAACATGGTACATTTGGGGTTGTCGTTGCTAAAAGAAGTACAGTAACATGGGACATTTGGGTTGTCAAAGAAGGACTGAGCTGGTCGCAGTGCTGGTCACACCCGTTCTTGGTCCGGGTATTCTCAGATTATACCCGGCGCGTCCAAATCCCGTCCGGGTGTTAAAATAGAGTTATCTTCTCATTTTCCAGAATGTTTTCCTTCCATTTGGGAGAAGTTAATGTATAGAACTAGCAGAGATTAAAATAGGCGTCTAAACACCAATATGTTGAAACCAATAGGTTTAACACCAACATGTTAAACATCAATGGATTAAACATCAATATGTTAAACACCAATAGGTTAACCATTAATAAGGTAATCACCAATATTTTAAACATCAATAGATCATATTATAATCAAAACATAGTGGGTATTGACCTCTGTTATAATTGTCATATTGTGACCAAACACATTCAGAATTATACATTGCCATTTTAAAGCAGATATTCTGAAGGGGGAGGGGCAGAGCTTATTTTTTTAACTAGCATCTCTTCCGTTATACTCTCAAATTAAGTGTTGCAAAACTAAATTCAACTATGTGCTAAAATGCATTCTTGTATTTTAAATTTATCAAAGATTAAAGAAGCGATAATATGTTCGGGCAAATGCATACCCTCAAGGGTGGCATACCAGGAATGAGTTTAGTTCAAGTTGGGCTATGGCGGAGTTCGGGACATCAATGATCACACATTTTGGCTCATTCTGGTGCTTTCCATACTAAAGTTTAAAATGCCCCTCAAAGTTGTATTAAAAAATCAAATTCACGTATTTGCCAAAATGCATCGAAGCATTTTGAATGCTCTCAGCTGACTTCGGCACCATCCATTTTTGCCCTAACGCTAATCAATGTTACAGTCGGCGGTTAAATATAAGTATGTGCCAAATGATTACACTTGGAAAACCAAAAACCGGAGTGAATTCTATTCATAGTTATGGGCGCTATGCCTCCAAAGGACGCTTAAAATTCTTTTTCATAATCAAAAAGTCTGCTAGAAACACTGAATTCTGGTATACTCCATAATGAACCTATTGCTTTTGAAATAACAAAAAAAATAAAAAAATTCTGAACTAGTTCAATGCAAAATTATGTCAAAAGATGTGTTAGTTCTATACACAATTATGTCAAAAGATGTGTTAGTTCTATACACAATTATGTCAAAAGATGTGTTAGTTCTATACACAATTATGTCAAAAGATGTGTTAGTTCTATACACAATTATGTCAAAAGATGTGTTAGTTCTATACACAATTATGTCAAATGATGTGTAAGTTCTATACACAATTATGTCAAAAGATGTGTTAGATCTATACACAATTATGTCAAAAGATGTGTTAGTTCTATACACAATTATGTCAAATGATGTGTTAGTTCTATACACAATTATGTCAAATGATGTGTCAGTTCTATACACAATTATGTCAAATGATGTGTCAGTTCTATACACAATTATGTCAAATGATGTGTTAGTTCTATACACAATTATGTCAAATGATGTGTCAGTTCTATACACAATTATGTCAAATGATGTGTCAGTTCTATACACAATTATGTCAAATGATGTGTTAGTTCTATACACAATTATGTCAAATGATGTGTCAGTTCTATACAAAATTATGTCAAATGATGTGTTAGTTCTATACACAATTATGTCAAATGATGTGTTAGTTCTATACACAATTAAGTCAAATGATGTGTCAGTTCTATACAAAATTATGTCAAATGATGTGTTAGTTCTATACACAATTATGTCAAATGATTTGTTAGTTCTATACACAATTATGTCAAAAGATGTGTTAGTTCTATACACAATTATGTCAAAAGATGTGTTAGTTTTATACACAATTATGTCAAATGATGTGTTAGTTCTATACACAATTATGTCAAATGATGTTTCAGTTCTATACACAATTATGTCAAATGATGTGTTAGTTCTATACACATTTATGTCAAATGATGTGTCAGTTCTATACACAATTATGTCAAATGATGTGTTAGTTCTATACACAATTATGACAAATGATGTGTTAGTTCTATACACAATTATGTCAAATGATGTGTTAGTTCTATACACAATTATGTCAAATGATGTGTTAGTTCTATACACAATTATGTCAAATGATGTGTTAGTTCTATACACAATTATGTCAAATGATGTGTTAGTTCTATACACAATTATGTCAAATGATGTGTTAGTTCTATACACAATTATGTCAAATGATGTGTTAGTTCTATACACAATTATGTCAAATGATGTGTTAGTTCTATACACAATTATGTCAAATGATGTGTTAGTTCTATACACAATTATGTCAAATGATGTGTTAGTTCTATACACAATTATGTCAAATGATGTGTTAGTTCTATACACAATTATGTCAAATGATGTGTTAGTTCTATACACAATTATGTCAAATGATGTGTTAGTTCTATACACAATTATGTCAAATGATGTGTTAGTTCTATACACAATTATGTCAAATGATGTGTTAGTTCTATACACAATTATGTCAAATGATGTGTTAGTTCTATACACAATTATGTCAAATGATGTGTTAGTTCTATACACAATTATGTCAAATGATGTGTTAGTTCTATACACAATTATGTCAAATGATGTGTTAGTTCTATACACAATTATGTCAAATGATGTGTTAGTTCTATACACAATTATGTCAAATGATGTGTTAGTTCTATACACAATTATGTCAAATGATGTGTTAGTTCTATACACAATTATGTCAAATGATGTGTTAGTTCTATACACAATTATGTCAAATGATGTGTTAGTTCTATACACAATTATGTCAAATGATGTGTTAGTTCTATACACAATTATGTCAAATGATGTGTTAGTTCTATACACAATTATGTCAAATGATGTGTCAGTTCTATACAAAATTATGTCAAATGATGTGTTAGTTCTATACACAATTATGTCAAATGATGTGTTAGTTCTATACACAATTATGTCAAATGATGTGTCAGTTCTATACAAAATTATGTCAAATGATGTGTTAGTTCTATACACAATTATGTCAAATGATGTGTTAGTTCTATACACAATTATGTCAAATGATGTGTCAGTTCTATACACAATTATGTCAAATGATGTGTTAGTTCTATACACAATTATGTCAAATGATGTGTTAGTTCTAAACACAATGATGTCAAATGATGTGTCAGTTCTATACATAATTTTATCAAATGATGTGTCAGTTCTATACACAATTATGTCAAATGATGTGTCAGTTCTATACACAATTATGTCAAATGATGTGTTAGTTCTATACACAATTATGTCAAAAGATGTGTCAGTTCTATACACAATTATGTCAAATGATGTGTCAGTTCTATACACAATTATGTCAAATGATGTGTTAGTTCTATACAAAATTATGTCAAATGATGTGTTAGTTCTATACACAATTATGTCAAATGATGTGTTAGTTCTATACACAATTATGTCAAATGATGTGTTAGTTCTATACACAATTATGTCAAATGATGTGTTAGTTCTATACACAATTATGTCAAATGATGTGTTAGTTCTATACACAATTATGTCAAATGATGTGTTAGTTCTATACACAATTATGTCAAATGATGTGTTAGTTCTATACACAATTATGTCAAATGATGTGTTAGTTCTATACACAATTATGTCAAATGATGTGTTAGTTCTATACACAATTATGTCAAATGATGTGTTAGTTCTATACACAATTATGTCAAATGATGTGTTAGTTCTATACACAATTATGTCAAATGATGTGTTAGTTCTATACACAATTATGTCAAATGATGTGTTAGTTCTATACACAATTATGTCAAATGATGTGTTAGTTCTATACACAATTATGTCAAATGATGTGTTAGTTCTATACACAATTATGTCAAATGATGTGTTAGTTCTATACACAATTATGTCAAATGATGTGTTAGTTCTATACACAATTATGTCAAATGATGTGTTAGTTCTATACACAATTATGTCAAATGATGTGTTAGTTCTATACACAATTATGTCAAATGATGTGTTAGTTCTATACACAATGATGTCAAAGGATGTGTCAATTCTATACACAATGATGTCAAATGATGTGTTAGTTCTATACACAATGATGTCAAATGATGTGTCAGTTCTATACAGAATGATGTCAAATGATGTGTTAGTTCTATACACAATGATGTCAAATGATGTGTTAGTTCTATACACAATGATGTCAAATGATGTGTCAGTTCTATACACAATGATGTCAAATGATGTGTTAGTTCTATACACAATGATGTCAAATGATGTGTCAGTTCTATACACAATGATGTCAAATGATGTGTCAGTTCTATACACAATGATGTCAAATGATGTGTCAGTTCTATACACAATGATGTCAAATGATGTGTTAGTTCTATACACAATGATGTCAAATGATGTGTCAATTCTATACACAATGATGTCAAATGATGTGTTAGTTCTATACACAATGATGTCAAATGATGTGTCAGTTCTATACACAATGATGTCAAATGATGTGTTAGTTCTATACACAATGATGTCAAATGATGTGTCAGTTCTATACACAATGATGTCAAATGATGTGTTAGTTCTATACACAATGATGTCAAATGATGTGTCAGTTCTATACACAATGATGTCAAATGATGTGTCAGTTCTATACACAATGATGTCAAATGATGTGTTAGTTCTATACACAATGATGTCAAAGGATGTGTCAATTCTATACACAATGATGTCAAATGATGTGTTAGTTCTATACACAATGATGTCAAATAAGAGACGAACTCTTTGTTGAACACCCGGTAACTTTCCCTAGTGCCTGGTCAGGTCATGTGCCGAGTGTGCCAATACTCGGCAATACCGGGTACCCGGGTAGGTGCCCACTCAGCCCTAGCTAACTGTGAAACAAAAAGTGTGTGTATGTGTATATGTGTGTGCGTGTGTCTGTGTGTGTGTGTAAGATGGGGCAATTGCTAACTCTACACCCTGGGCAGTGTGGGGTTGGCCACTGTTAACCAGCGTTAGAGGTCAGGCAGACAGTATGTTGTCTCATTAAATACCATCTGTAGCTAGCCCATGCGACGTATGACGTCAGGCGGACCACTGTATGAGGTCTAATTAGTTTAGTAACCAGCTCAAGCCTGTGCCTGCACCACCCCTAGCGTTAAGCATAGTGCCTCCAAGCACTATATGACCCTTGACCATTGGCCAAGTCACGTTCCGGAAATGACACATCTGGAATCTCACCGTTGTCTAACGTTATAAAGCCATTGTCTGGTCAATAGTTTTTTGTAAAGATAGTGTATAGATACCATTGTGAAAGCTGAATGCATTAGATGGTTGACCAATGACATTGTTAAATCAGGGAGTTCATTGATCGGTGTTATTGGTAAGTCACTGCGATGTTGAATCGCTGAGATGGTGAGTCAGTGAGATGGGGAGTCAGTGAGATGGTGAGTCAGTGAGATGGTGAGTCAGTGAGATGGTGAGTCAGTGAGATGGTGAGTCAGTGAGATGGTGAGTCAGTGAGATGGTGAGTCAATTAGATGGTGAGTCAGTGAGATGGTCAATTATGAGATGGTGAGTCAGTGAGATGGTGAATCATGAGATGGGGAATCAATGAGATGGTGAATCATGAGATGGTGAATCAGTGAGACGGTGAATCAGTGAGATGGTGAAACATGAGATGGTGAATCAGTGAGATGGTGACTCAGTGAGATGGTGAATCAGTGAGATGGTGAATCAATGAGATTAACTTTAAATGAGATCACTCTCTTTGTGAAGGGAAACCATTTCTTGGTGAATGGAAACCATTTCTTAGAAAATGGCAACAATTTCTTGGTGAATGACAACCATTTCTTAGTGAATGACAACCATTTCTTGGTGAATGACAAACATTTCTTAGTGAATGGCAACAATTTCTTGATGAATGACAACCATTTCTTATCTCATTGCCTTATGGCAAAGAAATGAAATGCTATTGCTGGGAAGTCCCACCCGTTGTTCTACGACAAAAACCAATGAGATTAGTCGAGCCATTGCCCCGAGGGACAGGCTGGCACAGATTTGATTTCCGTCTCCACATTGTCCACGAGAGACACTCATGAATGCTTCCAATAAACTGATTCATTTTCTCTCATTTTACAATTCGAGCAGGTATCCTCTACTTGTCATAACACCAGTGACTCTCAAACTCTTTCTCTTGCACAGCATTTGAAGCAAGATAGAAATAGTTTACAAAGCGATGTGCCCCTTACTAAGACATTATAATAATTAAATGAAAGAATATCAAGTGGGTCTGGTGGCAGTGGTCAAGTGATTCTGGTGACGGTGGCCAAGTGCGTTTGGTGACAGTGGCCAAGTGGGTCTGGTATCAGTGACCAAGTGTGTCGGGTGACAGTGGCCAAGAGCGGTCTGGTGACAGTAGTCGAGTGTGTCGTGTGACAGTGCCAAGTGTGTCGGATGACAGTGGCCAAGTGGGTCTGGTGACAGTGACCAGGTGTGTGTGGTGAAAGTTGCCAAATGGGTCTGGTGACAGTGGCCAAGTGGGTCTGGTGACAGCGGCCAAGTGGGTCTGGCTAACGTGGCCAAGTGGATCTGGTGCCAGTGGTGATATAGGTTTAGTGCCACCCAGGGCGGGCCCAGATATTTGTCACCCTCATTGGCCGAAAAAACACTGCTATTGCCGAAAATGCAACCCCTCAATATACAGAAAGAAGTGCCACCCAGGGTGGACCCCCCCCCCTCCCACGCCCGTTCTACGCTCCTGCCCGGCGAGGATTTAGAGGCAGTAAATATAAGACATGACATTGCTATATTCCAGGAATGGATACATTCTGTTGATTGTACATGAAATACTTGCCAAATGATATGATACTGCCAATCACGTGATATTGTTGTTTGCCTATAAGGATACTGTACTTAACACCAATAGGTGTACATTGTATACTTATCCCCAAATTTATGTACATTTTGTACTTGTACTTACCACCAATATGTGTACATGGTGTACTTACCATCAATAGGGGCACATTGTGTACTTAACACCAATAGTTGTACGTATTGTGTAATTACCACCAGTAGGCATACATTATGTACCACACATCAATATGTGTATATTGTGTACTTACTACCAATGGGTGTATACTGTATACATGATGCCAATGGATGTATATTGTGTACTTACCAGCTGGACAAGGAGGTCCCACTATAACACTGACTCCCTGTTCTTTCAACTTGACTGTCTCTCCCAGGGCTGTCTTCTCATCACATCGCTCGGAGTGGCGCCATACTGCCGTCATGTTGGCGTCAAACGTCCGTCCGAAGACGTTATGAAGCCAAATTTCAGTCCTGGCGATAGCGTCAAGGATGACCACGCCCCACATCTCGGACTGGGTGGAGTTTGGTCCAGCCTTGACCTTGCTTACGTCAGACGAATTGGTTGCGGGTAGCAAGAGGCCAACTTGTTTAGAAGCCAGGGTCATCAGCTGAGGCCTGATGGTCAGTACAAACACGTGGACACACAGGGCAAAACGTGCCAGCATGACGACATATCGCATCAACACGTTTAGCTGTCAAACTATGACCTTTGACCCTGCGGATCTGTGGACATCAACGACATGTTCTAAGGGCATTTGAGAGCAAAGTGTGTTAAAAAAAACAATCAGACACATTAAAGTAAAAAAAAAAAAACACTTTCTATGTGTTTAAACGGTGAGCTATGTTAATCTATCCAGAGGTCCATGACTTATGTCTGTTGTTTCAGTGACATTACGAGGAAGGCACTGACGATGTTGGTGTACAAGGAAGGCACTCACAATGTTGGTGTACAAGGAAGACACTAGTGTACAAGGAAGGCACTGACAATGTTAGTGTACGAGGAAGGCACTGACAATGTTGTTGTACAAGGAAGGCACTGACAATGTTGTTGTACAAGGAAGGCACTGACAATGTTGTTGTACAAGGAAGGCACTGACAATGTTGTTGTACAAGGAAGGCACTGACAATGTTGTTGTACAAGGAAGGCACTGACAATGTTGTTGTACAAGGAAGGCACTGACAATGTTAGTGTACAAGGAAGGCACTGACAATGTTGTTGTACAACGAAGGCACTGACAATGGTAGTGTACAAGCAAGGCACTGGCGGTGTACATGGAAGGCTCTGACAATGTTGGTGTACAAGGAAGGCTTTGACAATGTTGGTGTAGTTCAACAATAAGTAGAATGAAGGAATGTAGTATTACTAACTATTACAAGAGACAGAGAAAGACACTACCATGATGTCTGTCTTTTTTAGTATAAATGTATGTGTCTTAACATCATTTATCACTACACTATATATATGTCCTGACATCACTTATCACATTGATATGGATGCATTATTACATCACAATTGTATATGTCATAACATCAATTATCACCATTGTATGTATATGTCCTTATAGTACTTATTACAATTATAAGTATATGTCCTAACATCACTTACCTCAATTATATGTAGGCTATATGTTCTAACATCATCTATCATCATTGTATGTACATGCCCTTACATTACTTATCACAATTTTAATTAATTTTCCTAACACCATTTATCTCAATTGTATATATATGTCCTAACATCAACCATCACCATTGTATGTATATGTCCTAAAATCAATTATCACTATTTTATGTATATGTCCTAACATAACTTATCTCAATTGTATGTAAGCTATATGTCCTAACATCAACCATCACCATTGTATGTATGTGTCCTAACATCACTTATCTCAATTGTATGTATATGTCCTAGCATCACTTATCTCAATTGTATGTATATGTCCTAGCATCACTTATCTCAATGGTATGTAGGCTATATGTCCAAACATCAATATATTACCATTGAGTGATGACAATCCAATAATTAGCAATAAGTCAGTCAGCATTTGATCAAATGATCGGAAATGTGTTAGCATGAAAATGTAATACATACTTTCTAATCTAGTGAAATAACGTTCTGTTTTAGTAATACATACTTTCTAATCTAGTGAAATAACGTTCTGTTTTAGTAATACATACTTTCTAATCTAGTGAAATAACGTTCTGTTTTAGTAATACATACTTTCTAATCTAGTGAAATAACGTTCTGTTTTAGTAATACATACTTTCTAATTTAGTCAAATAACATGCCGTTTTAGCAATAGCCTACATAATTTGTAATCTAGTGAAAAAACATGCATTTTTAGTAATACATACTCTCTAATCAAATGAGCAAACCTTAAGTGTTTACAATGGACTACTCTTTAATCCAAAAAACTTATGGGGAAAAAAAAGAAGCCGTTTTCTCTGTGTACGGTGGTGTTGAACAGCAAGAAGATCCACTTTGAAATGAACGACCCGTCAAGGCAAAGTGGCCGTTCTGCTGTGAGATTATCTCAGTGTCGCACCTCCTCAAGACAAATTTTATCTTCAACTGTCAACAATCGCCCCTGACGCCCGGACGGCACTCCACTTATCACTGACTCACTGGCAGGACATCCGGGGAAGTGAGAGGACAGATTTCGTCATCACGAACCTCCATTTGGATCCCGATGTGGATGTTCATTGCTGAGATGTGGTCAAACTTGTCACCATTGTTTGTTGGGTTGTTCGTTTGCATCATTTCCTATTAATGCTGTATGTTATGTTTATATTTTTAAATCATTGTCTTTTGAGCATTCCCTTAATGCTACTATTTTTTTTTATATCATTGTCTTTTTAAAAAAAATGTATTTGTATAATACTTATAATTTCTTCTTGTAAATTTCATATCTATTACAGCAGCATGCTGGAATTGAAAACATGGAGTATGTTAATGGTATAAAACATGTGACCACACCCCATCCCCCAACCGATTCAAATGGCTTTTATGAATAATTGGCATCTGGACGTCAGTTAAAACAAATGTATTGACATGAAAATACCCTGTTTCTTGATTTATTTATCGTATTAAACATCTGGGTATCGACAGAAATCATTGTGAATATGACATCAATGAAAACTCACAAATATTTCAGAAATTTCTTGTTTAGCATGACCGAAATTTTCCTTATTATTCCATTTGAAACATTGTCTCTGACAGACTTCTCGTCCAGTTAAGGCGGCAATGTAAAGGATAGACCTTGATACTCCCATAAAAATACGTGATTAGAGTTAGCTTAGAAACAGCCATAAAAATAGGTGGATAGAGTTTGCCTAGAAACAGCCATAATTATACGTGAATAGAGTTAGCTTAGAAACAGTCATCCCAAGCCCTGGATAGAGTTAACCTCGATACATCCATCATTAGTTGTGGATAGAGTTAGTTTATATATATACAACATAGTCCATTGATAGAGCTAGTTAAAAGAAACCCATCATAACCGGTGGATATAGTTCGTTTAGAAAAATCATCACGAACTGGGGATAGAGTTAGTTTAGATAAAGCCACCTAACCTGTGGTTAGAGTTAACCTTGATACATTCACCATAAACTGTGGATAGAGCTAGTTTAGATACAGACACATAACCTGTGGAAAGATTTCATTTTGATAGTGATCTACGCAAAAAATAATATTATAATCTTTTCAATTGAAAAAGAGCCAATAAACCTGGTCAATACAACAGGCTAATAGACCCGTTGGCCTTCTTTTTGCATTGGGGTATAACATCAAAAACGTACAATATCAACCCTTTCAAAATCAATTCGCTTAAGAAACCAATACAAACGTACAACTTGCTACTTAAAAAAAAAAAGGATTTATAAAAAATCAGGTAGACCTTGAATTAGGGACCAGCCCGTTTGATGTAATATTCAAGACGAAATTAACGATTTGAAGATTAATCTCAATTTTAAAGATTTCCAATAAAAAATGTATTGTCAAATATCAACCTTTAGGCCCCAGGCAGAAACTATGAAAACCTTTTGGATCTCAGGCAGAAGCTATGAAAACCCTTTAGGTCCCAGGCAGAAACAATGAAAACCCTTTAGGTCCCAGGCAGAAACAATGACAACCCTTTAGGTCCCAGGCAGAAACAATGAAAACCCTTTAGGTCCCAGGCAGAAACAATGAAAACCCTTTAGGTCCCAGGCAGAAACTATGAAAACCTTTTGGGTCTCAGGCAGAAACTATGAAAAGCCAATAGATAGTATTCAAGTTACTCTATGTATTTCATTAAAATACGATTTTGGCTAACGATATTCACGACGGTCATTTGAGTTGTTTTCAGGGTGGGTGTGTGGGGAGGGGGGGGGGCAAAACTTTGCCGGCTTGTTGAGTTGTCTATTACTGGAGGCGCCACAGTACACATAAATTTAAATAAAACATGAAAATTCAGGTTGGGGGGGGGCAAATTCACGCCCTACCCAATAGACGCCCCTGACGATATTGCCTTTTAAACATTAACTATTGGGATTCCATTAAAATCGGTTGACAACTATATAAACGGTATGAGATATTTGATCAGATGATTTATACATGAAGTGAGATATTTAAAAAAAAAACTTTCTTGACTCAAACTCAAACATGAACAGCTTTAACATTGTAAACAGTATTGTGACCTTTCTGTGCCGGGGATATTGAAACTAGGATTATGAAAGTGATATTTGGAGTTTGTTCTAGGTACAACCATTCACGAAGAAACTACCATTTTACCCAAGCCTACATTTTACCTAACCCTACACTGTACCTAAGACTACGTTGTACCTAAGCCTACGTTGTACCTAAGCCTACGTTGTACCTAAGCCTACGTCGTACCTAAGCCTACGTTGTACCTAAGCCTACGTTGTACCTAAGCCTACGTTGTACCTAAGCCTACGTCGTACCTAAGCCTACGTTGTACCTAAGCCTACGTTGTACCTAAGCCTACGTTGTACCTAAGCCTACGTTGTACCTAAGCCTACGTTGTACCTAAGCCTACGTTGTACCTAAGCCTACGTTGTACCTAAGCCTACGTCGTACCTAAGCCTACGTTGTACCTAAGCCTACGTTGTACCTAAGCCTACGTTGTACCTAAGCCTACGTTGTACCTAAGCCTACGTTGTACCTAAGCCTACGTCGTACCTAAGCCTACGTTGTACCTAAGCCTACGTTGTACCTAAGCCTACGTTGTACCTAAGCCTACGTTGTACCTAAGCCTACGTTGTACCTAAGCCTACGTTGTACCTGAGCCTACAAGTAGTATTATAGTATGGCGTTTTCGATGATTATTTTGGCGGGTCATAAGAGACGTTAAATGAAGAGCGATAATTGACTGATACGTTTTGACTTTGCTTTTAATTAATAATCTCCCTTTGTTGTGTGGTCAGTTTTGAATAGTTGTCTCGTGTGACGGTTTGTTAAATAGTTTAATTGGTTTTTTATTAGGTAATTTGTAATCATTGGGTGGTAGTGATGTAGTTGAGATGTTATATGGTCTTCTTGTGAGATGGCAATGATTATTCTTGTTGGTTGATAATTTATTTAAGTTTATTGAGTGTTTCTCAAAGTGTGAGTAACTTGTAGTGTGTGTTTGGTAATAATCAATTATTGTGTGCATCTTTAATCTTCTTCTTGTATATTTTGAGGACACACGATCAATGTATTGATCATTCTGACTTCTAATTATTTGTCTTGTAGTGTGATAATGTAATGTAATAGGTATTAATTGACTTGTAGTGTATAACCTTTGATGAGTGTGCTTATAGTGTTAAATTTTTATTTATAATGAGTTCTTGTTATGGCCAATATGCTCTAAATGTTCTTGTTATTGCCAATATTTTCAAATTGTTCTTGTTATTGCCAATATGTTCAAATTGTTCTTGTTATTGTCAATATGTTCAAATTGTTCTTGTTATTGTCAATATGTTCTAAATGTTCTTGTTATTGCCAATATGTTCAAATTGTTCTTGTTATAGTCAATATGTTCTAAATGTTCTTGTAATTTCCAATATGTTCTAAATGTTCTTATTATTGCCAATATGTTCTAAATGTTCTTATTATTGCCAATATGTTCTAAATGTTCTTGTTATTGCCAATATGTTCTAAATGTTCTTGTTATTGCCAATATTTTCTAAATGTTCTTATTATTGCCAATATGTTCTAAATGTTCTTATTATTGCCAATATGTTCTATATGTTCTTATGATTGTCAATATGTTCTAAATGTTCTTATTATTGCCAATATGTTCTATATGTTCTTATGATTGTCAATATGTTCTAAATGTTCTTATTATTGCCAATATGTTCTAAATGTTCTTATTATTGCCAATATGTTCTAAATGTTCTTATTATTGCCAATATGTTCTATATGTTCTTATGATTGTCAATATTTTCTAAATGTTCTTATTATTGCCAATATGTTCTAAATGTTCTTATTATTGCCAATATTTTCTAAATGTTCTTATTATTGCCAATATGTTCTAAATGTTCTTATTATTGCCAATATGTTCTATATGTTCTTATGATTGTCAATATGTTCTAAAAGTTCTTATTATTGCCAATATGTTCTAAATGTTCTTATTATTGTCAATATGTTCTATATGTTCTTATGATTGTCAATATGTTCTAAATGTTCTTGTTATTGCCAATATTTTCTAAATGTTCTTATTATTGCCAATATGTTCTAAATGTTCTTATTATTGCCAATATGTTCTAAATTTTCTTATTATTGCCAATATGTTCTAAATGTTCTTGTTATTGCCAATATTTTCTAAATGTTCTTATTATTGCCAATATGTTCTAAATGTTCTTATTATTGCCAATATGTTCTATATGTTCTTATGATTGTCAATATGTTCTAAATGTTCTTATTATTGCCAATATGTTCTAAATGTTCTTATTATTGCCAATATGTTCTACATGTTCTTATGATTGTCAATATGTTCTAAATGTTCTTGTTATTGCCAATATGTTCTAAATGTTCTTATTATTGCCAATATGTTCTAAATGTTCTTGTTATTGCCAATATGTTCTAAATGTTTTTGTTATTGTCAATATGTTCTAAATGTTCTTATTATTGCAAATATGTTCTAAATGTTCTTTTTATTGCCAATATGTTCTAAATGTTCTAGTTATTGCCAGTATGTTCAGCTCTTCGATAGTATCACGAACCCACGGCATGGCCACCGCATCAAAGAGGATATGCCACGCACTTTGAGATCCACTTATAAAGTGAGGATATGCCACGCACGTTGAGATCCGCTTATAAAGTGGGGATATTCCACGCACTTTGAGATCCGCTTATAAAGTGGGGATATGCCACTCACTTTGAGATCCGCTTATAAAGTGGGGATATGCCACGCACGTTGAGATCCGCTTATAAAGTGGGGTTGTGCCACGCACGTTGAGATCCGCTTATAAAGTGG